AGAGAGGACAACCATTTTATTAGTTATGGTAGGCTTGTTTCAGAAGGGGTCCCCAACAAAAACTAGATAGGCCTGGAGGAATATAGGCCTAACGATATAATTAAGCATTAAACAAAAAATGTAAGAATATAACAATTTTTTAAATTTACAAAATTGTAATTTGCAAAAATACTGAAAATAAATAGAAATATAATTATTACATATTTTAATTATTATTATTATACAAAAACTAAAAAATAATAGGAATATTGTTTCAAATTTACGAAGTTACAAAATATTATTATAAATTATGAATTTAATTTAATTGTTTGACCCATGCCAGTGACCGGGATTATTATACTGTAAAGCTCGTATAGGCAGTTTATTGTAATATATGCTATGGAATGGAAATAGAAATAAAATGCCGAATTATTATACAGTATTAGTATTTATCAATAATATACTAAGCGAAAACCTTAATAAGACATATTTTATAAGCCTTATTTTACCATGGAGCAGTCATATTACAATATATAATATTATAATAGACTGCTCTTGAGTATACAAATAGTCGTAGTATACATAAATTTCTGTTAATTACCGCACTATTCATGTGCTAATGGTTTCTAAACGTAGCCTTATATTATTTGGGTTGGACAAATAAGGTTTAACAATGAAACTCAATTTCATTATTTGAATTGCATTCTGTAAATAACAATCGCCGCTCTCCAATAATGCGCCAAACAAATCTCGATTTTCCCGCTTCGAATACTAAGCGCCGAGTCCGCTTGAGATGGACCATAGAGGCCTAGGTTGATTTTAATCGTCACGGCGACTAATCGAGAGTATCTTTACCAAATGTGCTTTATTTCGCACCACTTGGGTTGCGCTTCTAGTTCGGAATTGGCGCCATATAAATTAAGATATTTATGTCATCATTGTCATTGTTATCGGCATTAATTATGTTGCTGTCATTGTCAATGTCATTGCCATTTTCACTGTCACAGTCATTGTTATTGTTGTTATTGTTATAATTTGTGTTATTATTATCCATTGCTACTGTTATTATTAATACTATTATTGTTGGTATTATTATCTTATCATCGGGACACTATTAAACAACCGATTTCTCATGAAATGAAGTAGTCCTAGTAACGTTTAAATAACAAGGCACATGCACCTATGATGCACAACACATGTATGGGGTAGTGCCTTTTATCAGCGCTGCAACAGTAATTATTTGTAATAGGCCTGCATCGCTCTTGAATAAGCGCCCATTTTGAATAAGCGCCTCATTGAAGCGCCCTGTGGTGTCAATTTGGTCGTTTATAGACAAATCCAATAATTAGAAAAGGGCGTCATCATAATAGATGGCGCCACCATTGCTGGGGACATCCTTGGGGTCCTCCGCGTGTATGTTAGGTCCATGTACGGTGGTCAGAAGTATTTAGAGTAGATTACGATGGAAACAAAATACTATACGTACGGTACTATAATTCCGATATTTACATGTTGTAGCAGATGATGAATCATAAGAATTCCCCCACCAAATCTCCCAGCTATTGGGTCGGCAGAGGGAGATTAATCACTGTGAATGGATTGTCCTATACAGCTTGGTTTCCTTAAAATCGCTCCACTATCGATATTGTGTTTTTAGTGCAATCGTTGTACTGCGTATACGCAGTCCCCGGCGCAATCGGGAAGGCTCCCCGATTCGACCGACCAATTAGCATCACCTAAAGCTGTCGGCGATAGATTGTAGCAATTGTATGGAAACGAGAATAATAATAAATTTCAAATTAGGGGTTTATTAAATTGTTTTAAGCCAAACGTTTCTAACAATTTTGTTTCGTAGAATACAGTGTGTACATTGAAAACTGTATTATTTTAATCTAGATTTTTTTTTTCTTAATTTTTTACCATTTATTCCATTTGGAAGCTAATTTACTTACGGTAGTCCTTGAAATATGCAATTTAACTTTTATTATTAATTTAATAAATGTCAAATCTCAGTACTTAAAAGACTAACTATATTATTTGTTAACTATAGCTTTCGTCCACACAGTGGACGAAAGACACTAATATTTAATTTATTAATTTAGTTTAGTTTATTAATTTTATTATTATTATTATTATTATTATTATTATTATTATTATTATTGTGAACAAGACTACAGTGATAGTCGAATGCTTAAAACGTCATTTCTTTTGTTTTCTGCTTCATCCAGAGATATAAAGTTTTAATTGATATTGATTATTGTTAACCTGGATAGATAAATCTACATCAGTAGATTATTATTATTATTATTATTATTATTATTATTATTGTTATTATTATTATTATTATTATTATTATTATTATTATTATGTTTTTGCGATTTTCCTAAGTGTAATAACTTGTTGAATAGTGACCGATGTTGCTATGGATACGTACAACATAAGTCTGCGTTTCTTTCACAGCAGATTAACAACCGCCGCCATAACTTAATAAAAATGAATTATGTCAAACTAAACATATTGTCCTCATTACGCTTGGTGTGAAACAGACACTTCATTATCCTCAATACTTTGTTGTGAATTATTTGACATAATGTACCATCGTCGTATATTAAGTGAGCAAATTATTATTGTCTTCATCGTCGTCGTCTTCACCGCCACTGCCCCCGCTTCCGCCATCGCCATCATACTTTATTGTTTGTGTCTGCTATTCTTGTCCCGGGTCTTTTCAAGGCTGTAATTGGCGATTTATATTCGCTTTTGGTTTTAATTTGAAAATAAGATAAATTAAATAATAATGTATTTGTAATCGTTTGGGAGCTACTGATATTTTCCATGTCATGGATGAATAAAGTTTTACCTTACCTTACCTTAGTTATTAATAATAATTGTTATTATTTCTAGCAGTAGTTTTAGCAGTAGATTCTGATGACGACATAATTAATGTCGAAATATTAAATCCCAACTCGATGGCGTGTATTTCAATACTAATTTCTTATCTGATATTAATCAGCGGACCTACGGTTTTCTAGCAGTAGTAGAAGAATCATTATTTGTATAATTATTACTAATGTATAATATCATCTGTTATGGGCCTAATGATTAATATATTAATTACTGCCTCACTGCCGTCATCGTAATCATCCAGATTATCATTATTGTTAATAATCATAAAGTTATTAATAATAATTTGTTGTTATTATTTCTATTATTCTATTATTATTAATATTATTGTAGTAATTATACATTTTCTGTAGTTTGATTTAATATTTCAATCGTTGCACAGTAATGTTATAAATTGTATTCATAATTTTAAGCGTAATCGTTATAATTGAAAACAATAATGTATTATATTAATATTATTATTATTGCTATGAATATTATTATTATCAATAAATCATTTAGGCCTATATCTGACCATATTTTTATGTAATTTGAATTAATCAGAGTTAGTAAATAATTATTAATATTTGATTATTTGTATACTGTAGTTACTTGCTCAAATTATTAATTATTTAATATTTTTACTTTATTTGACCTAATCATAGATAGTAAATATTTATTAATATTTGATTATTTGAAAAATTACTTGATGAAATTATTAATTATTTATTACTAATATTCCGAAGTATACATGTCATCACTTCTTTGTCCATATTGACAACGCCACTGCGTCGCTGTCCATGTGTCCGTTTCCATAACGTGTCTATTTATAATCTTCTTTTTGAATTCTGACGTCATCACTGTTCCTTAGATTTCTGATTTCTACCGTTGATGAATCTGTATCGCTTTCTCTTTTAGCCCTCTAGCAGAGAGGAGCTTATGCGCTTTCCTGTAATGGGTGAATTTTGACTCTTGTTTTTGCAGCTACACAAGTATGTAGTGATCAACACATCCATCATAATGCGTTTTGTCATTTATTCCTGAACGAGTGCAAAAGATAAAAAATCCACGACAATTGTAGTTCAGTATTTTTCCCGCATTTTTTCCCACCATTTTTTGTTGTTAGAGGTCAATTAACGACGTATGTCCAATATAGTATAATCTAATTCTCATAACATATATCGACTAATTCATCTAATCGAAAGCTGTTATTATATGACTTTCAGATGAGAATAGAAACCGCATCTTTAAATGAGAAACAGGTTGATGTCCTCTCATTCAACTGATGGGTTTTCTGTATGTTTTTTATTTTATCGTTATTTAAATCATATATGCATTATACCATAACTTTGGTATAAATTAGCCTCAGTATTATTAATATTACATTAACTTAAAAGTATTTGATTTCATTTAAATTGACCTACAACCCAATTGAAAAAAAAAGGGAAAAAAAAAAAACCCGTTGAAATGAATTCGTAAATTAGTTGAACTACAACAAATAATAATAGGCCTATAAATAATTGATCGTTCATAATGTGAAATACAAATCATTAACGATCAACATCCATAATAGACCCTTCCGAAGACATACAATCCCTATCTGATTGTGTTTGATAGTGTATGTTGTTTCAGACATAATTGTCTAGTCAAACATTGATCACATATCTTTCCATGTCTATGGAAGTCGAAAATTGGCATGGCTTAACAAATTAAAAAAGGATTTTAACTTTTTTTTTGCTTCACAATAAAAAGGAAAAATTTATGTTAGTGTTCCTTTAAACATAAACACCGGCAGATAGTACATTATTCAATTTTTTTGTTGTCAGACTTATTAGACAGTTGGTCAGACTTTGTCTGAAATCTATCAGATATAGAATAATCTGATCATACAATAATGTCTGATCAAACATGAAGCCTCGTTTAGCCGTTTTCGAGTCTAAATCCGACAGACAAGGACTTGCGTGAATTTATAGTACAATAATGCGATACGTAGCCCTGGTTTTTATAAGATCACTACAATGCGCGCGTAGCTCTGCCCGGCGCAATCGGGAATTGCCCGACGAATCACCGAGGGTTGTCGGCGATAAAGAGTAACAGTTTTATGGAAACCAGACTTAACCGCCTATGAGTACAATTTTAATCAATAAAAGAAAACAGAATATTTTTTCATCTCTAGCTTTTAATTGTTGCAAATTGATTATCATAATCCTCAACTAATAAATATTTTTAAGATGTACAATTCAATAAATAAATATTGCCTCAATAATATATAACAATAAATAATTAGTATATTTACTCTTAAGTGTATCGCCGGACACATCGCGACTGCGATTCTGATCCAACGTAAACATTTTAAATATCTTATTTAACCACGAATTCGTGGAAGAACACGTTGTATAATGGACCTTCCCGGAGTGTCAATCAAACTTAACCGACCAATCAGAACAGGGCCAAGAATACGCGCGCGTCTAACAATCGCACGTGTTGTTCCCCCAAACGCAGGTGTTTTCGTATGTTTTACCCATAGAGTTATAATAAGAATTTTTAATAGTTCTATGCTTTTAACACTGTAGTTTTTTGGGGACCTTAGCAAATATCTCCAAGGGCCGGGGCTTAGCGGAAAGGTCCATTTGAATCTGACAATGACTTTGTCATCATAATACTACTCAGCATGGAATGAAATGCGAATGGTGATTAAAATACCATTCAATTATAATTGGCCTACTACACACTTAGTAGGCCTATATTTTTATTTTAAAATGCAATCTCCAAAGACTATATACATGTAAGAAAACATGATGCAATGAGTGCAATTAGAACCATGATCTAAAACCACATGAAAACCATATTCATTATAGATTGTTCATTATAATAATCAAACAAGGTTTTTTTTTGATACCGGTAAAATTTACGCGCTTTTCAGATACCTGCTTCAGCTGTATTTATATAGTCATTTCTAAGTGCCGACGTCATGTGTCCGTATTCATCCTTCTCTGCATATTATGTAACGTAAATAACCACGTGACTGTTGTTAATGTCACCAAAGAATATAGAACGGCAAGAAGTTCGACTTATGGGATTTCGCTGGAACGTAATCCTATTTCAAAAAGTACTACATGAACTAGAAGGCGTCCTTGAAAGGGCGAGATTCGAATTCTATATGAATTCTAATAGAGCGCCCTCTATCTCATTGTAGTACTTTTTTTAAAACGTTTTATTGCGTGCATACAAAATCAGAGCAGTCGGACCTCTCGCAATTCTATACTCTTTTATGTCACTTCGTCTTGCGTATCTCTCCCTCTAACGGATTGAGAATATTGATATGCACGGCGTTACGTGAAGAAGTGAAAATTCTACTTTTAAATGGACAAGAAACCTGGTCATTAACGGTATTTCAGGTTCTTGCATCCGTTTCCATGTCTTGGAAGATTTAACCTGAGAATCAGGTTTAAATTGTGACAAAAAAATGTGATTTGGACGGAAAGACGAAGAAAAAATCGTAGTACTCCCGCTGTCGTTGGCATCTGCTACAGAGAATTGTTAGGACAGATCAAGTTCTTTTACACAACTTTTCAATGTGGCACTTTTCTGGAAGAATGTTGCTGTGGTGAAGAACACGGTTCAACAAATATTTGGTTGGTGGCAAAATTGAATAACACATTAACCAAATGCTAATCGCATATTAAATGTGTTACATAGTCTGCAATCATCATACTGTGCTAGCTCCACTTTTCATTCCATAATCTCTTTCTCAAAGAGGTTTTAAATCATTCTTAACTGCGTATCTTCAACAAAAAGAGAATGCTGACGTCACGTTTTTAAGACATCGTTCTGCACAAATGGGGAAACAGGTACAGTTAAATTTTCAAAATAGAAATGTAATTATGAAGTGTTCGGCGGATCAACTCGGTGTGAAAAATAAATAGCTTTCAAAATGTGACATTACTTTGGTCGCTTAGGGCTGACGTATACTAAAATAGAGAAAAGTTTTACGATATGGTGCTCCTATTATTTTCAAGCATACGTTGCCTAATTGTACTGGGTAGAGCAATCATTTGTCCTTGACTATTAATAAGACCGTCTTCTTGCATTTGTTGAAATTGCTCTCTTGCATTTGTTACTGATAATCCCATGGATTGGAGTACACTTACAAAAGCGTCAAAGGCATCTGTATGAAATAAAGAAAAAAAATGATTGAGTACTTTATTGACCTTGTTGTTAAGCCACGCCCCTTGGACATTATTGCTGGGTGTGGACATTAAACATGAACTTACGTACTTAAGGAACATGCACGTATCCCTGCCTTTCAAATAATACTTTCTGCTTGGCCAGTTGTTAAGTTTATTCTGTTAATAGAAATAAGTCAATTCGTAGTTTGAACTGCAAATGCCTGTATCCGAGATTGATATTTATGTAGATTGACATTGATATGGGCCTGCGCATTTGAAACTACAAATTGGCTTATTGAAAGAACACAAATAAATAGTAGACCTGCTTACTTCTTTTTGAAACACTTTGTGCCTCTGGAAATTGTGGCATATGATGTTTTTCTTGATTACTTTGGCTTATCAGAAGTTGGCAAAGTAAACCAGCAATCTCCGTATCGATTTGGCAAATTTCTACTACATCAGCCAAGTGCTCTTGAGATACAGGCATTCCATTTACAATTGCTGATGGGTATAGAAGGACTGAAAGAACCAACAGTAACACCGGCAATGTACACTTGCTTACCTCCATATTATCTGATTTCTGTAAAGATATAAGAAAGAAGTATTATCATTTCTATTATTATAATTATGTAATATTTTTATGTATTACCTAGGCATACAAGTAAAAACGCTTAATAGGGAACGAGGTTTCGACTCATTATTGCGTCATTTTATTCTCAGGTGTTTTTTTTTTTCTTCAACTCGTTTAATTACTTTACGTATTATAACGCTGAAACCTGTTCAGTGACGGATGCAGGAATTCGAAATAGAGGAGGCCCAGGGAGGGTTAGTTACAGATGGAGCGTCCAAATTACCTCATGCTCACAAAGGTTTTTATGCATTTATTCTTATACGTTTTAGAATAATATGTAATACACTTATGTTTGTATATGGTTGACAATCAAATGTTGTGTGTGATGAATATTGATACAGTCGAAGAATCTGGTGAATAAGTCACTGGATAGCCATTGGTATCATGCATTGGTTGGTTTCCATTTGGCTCATCGAGAAAATTACAGTATTGAGATCTTTCAATAATTCTTTCCCTTATTCTTTCTTATTTTGTTTGTCCGATTGTGCTTTTCATACAGCTACGGTGTACAGTATTGTTTTTATTTATCGACTTGTTTTCACAATAACATTGATTAAATTACTTATGAAAACATGATGTTAATTGTTTTCCAATTCCATAGTACTAACACTCGAAGTTGGTTATTCTTTTGTAGGAAAATTTCAAAAGTAAGACTGAATATATGTTTGTAAAATCTGGTTTTATATTCGTAAATAATGTAGTCATTGAAGATTTACTAAACCTTTGGGGACAATGTAAAATAATTTATAAGCATAATACTTGATCGACCTTCATCCAGTCTGAATCTTATGATAAAGTATGTTATTTCTATGTATTAATGAGGAATAAGACCAGAATAAAATGTCGGTAATAATTGTGAGGATAAGCTTGACTGCTAATGCAATCAAAACAATAATTCTGTTATGGAAGAAAGAGGCGAGCACGCAGGTGTATTTATGTTAGCCTACCTGAACGGCAACCCAGTAATTTCAATGTCATCGTTATACTTATAACATCATTTAAACGCAAGTGTTACTATTATCACCAAAACGTGCGTCAAAGGAATAATTAATAAATTAACACGTGACGAACGCTAATTTAACAATCGAATGCGAATGGCTTGTTTTCGAAGTTATATTTCTTTTCGGTACCATCGGATCGGTGGCACTTTCGCGACAAGGCACATGAAATAATAATCAGCTTTTAAAATCAGCGGATCGTTCATTGCCTACGCATGACTTGCACATACAGTGAGTGCGTTGGTAACCATGGACAACAAATTAATGGATTCAATTAATACGTCGTATTGGAATTAAATTTTAGAGTTTAAATCCAAATGGATTGTGTCAACGGTAAAAAATAATTTTGTTTGTTTTTAATTGGCGAGTAATCCGCGTTTTGTAGATCTAGGCTTATGGTTATATCACAGTTTATCAACAACATAATAGTTTGTGAAGATGATGTTAATTTCTGAAATGGAAATAGGAAGGCAGTAAGGACGAACTTTGCTCACTTCGAATAAAACCAAGGACTTTCAACTATAAAGTTAAAATCCATGATAAAACAAAGAACAAAACAATTTCTAACGTTGTAAGTTATCAGTTTAGACTTGTAACTGAATTGCATTCTTCAGTTCTTTCATTAGAAGTTATGGATTAGGTTGACGTCTGATTGTTATAAAACAAAACCATCGGAATGTGTTTATATTGGAAAAGAATTTTCCGTTTTATTCTATTTTATCGAGTCTGCCTTAAAAATAACCCATAGCTAAATGCATTACAATAGAAACTATGCCATTAATTACTTAATCTTAATTGCGATTTTAAAGTTTGATTTTCGGGGTCAGGTGACATAATTGGGATTCCAGTAATTCACACTAAGGGACGCGAGACAGAAACCACCAGACCATGGCCAAGCGGTACAAAATAGTTACGTCATTTTTTTTAGGGATGCGTGTTTTCTATCATTGTATATCTATTTGTTTTCATCCAATATAATATTTAAGTACAAGGCACAGAGTGGTAGATCTATTTAGACCATCGGAATGTCTTGTTTGTTTCATTCATCCCGTGACATTCCCTACAAAATACAAATTCCGATCTTTGTAATTAACGACAACAATATCTATAAACTCTTTATTCTTTAACTTTTTTAAGACCTGTCCGTGCTAAATATTTAAAGAAAAACAAATCCCTATTATTTTTAAGTATTTTGAGTGACCGTTTACCGTAGTTGGCACGTGGCACTTAAAACTAGTAGTAAAACACGTCGCAGAAGCGCAACGACCATAGGCCTACTTGAATCCAGAAGCGGAAGTTACAATATTGACTTTGTAAACTGAACCGTCTAGAGCAATGACGTTCCATTATACCTCCACGCGATTACATCAACAAGAAGTGCGCACACCTTGGCAAACTTCCAAACCACTCATTAATCGATGTTATATTTGTCGATAGGGTGGAAGCAGGCCCATTCATTCAGTATAACCAATCAGTTCCCAAGCTGGGCTGTTTACTTCCGACCGCAACACTTTTCTACTTCCATAGTGAAGGATCGCCCACATGTGTATGATTTGTAACGAACGTAAATATTATATATATAGGCCTATCATTTACTATTGGAATTTCAAAACGTGTTTGTCAGATAAAATTTGACGCATACACCTGTCACATTACGATATCGGTTTATTTATTTTCTTACTGAGTAGGCATTTTAAAACTAAATAGCTTTTAACAATGAAACGATAAATAATTAATTAGGCCTATACCACAGGCCTAGCCTAGAGTTAATTGTATTACAGTTATTCACGAGAAACGGAAATTCTACATTAGTTGCTTATCGGACCGACGTAATTGATTGAAACATCTATCAATAAAATAGTATTTTGTCATATTAGGCCTAATAGTACGTTGCCTTTCATTAAAAGAGCCCAGTATAAAATTAAATATATATTTATAGAAATGTATGCCATAAATACACTGAAAAAGAACGTGCTTACATACGTATACATATCATGATAAGGCTGTAAATCACATTGTATAATAGAGTTAAAACAACACTAAACCGTCTTGCTTGAGATAATGTTATAGGCCCTAATTACAAAACTTTTATATATAAATTTTGAACGTTAAGAGAAAAGGAATCACCGAGTGTGTGAAAAAGCCCTCAACCGGGATTCGAACTCGGGACCTTCTGCTGTCTTTTATGCAAACGCCTTTAAGCAACTGGAGAATTGACGCTTTGTAGGGAATTCAAATCCGATTAAAGCAACTAATCACGCTCTTGCGTATGCGTAATTTGGGCAGCACCAGTCCAACTACAGTATTACAGTATAACAAAGATCAATATGATACGCCCTCTTTTCGACGGCAAGACAGGATCCCCTAAGTGATACTTTATTTTTTTCATAAATATGTATTTATAAATGTATACTATTTTATATATAGGCCTATATATATACACACATATATATATATACACATATATATAGGCCTATATATATTATATATACATAATTATATATATATGTAATAATATAGGTCTTTGATATATAGGTCTATGTATAGTAGCATTTCTGTTGTAAAGTCTTCAAGTCATATGTACTGTATGTGTAAAAAATTAGTAATAATAATTTTTATGAATAAACAAAATTGACTTATAGTATAAATTTAACCATAGATTTTGATAGCAGAAAAATCCTTAGACAATACATCGTCTCCAATGATATTAATTAGTATTAC